TAGTATAAGCTCTGTATAATATAATTTGGCATCAGTTGTAGCAAACCAAAGATATTTTATTCTATTTTCTATAATATTTGTTAAAAGTAACATTCTAGAAATAGTTAATGATGGTAAATTATTTGGTATATTTAAAACTAAACCATACACAATTTATTATTTTATCTTCATTGACATTTTTTTATTTATATATGTACATGCTCGCCATATATCTATAATTTTCTTTTAATGTAAGATATCGCGTATTTAATAATGAAATCAGGAATCAAAAAAACATGTTCGAAAATTATACTTAATCAAGCATTGTTTCGGAAAAAGTATTCAGGATAAAGCATGGCTCTCACCAAAAGATTCATTCATCAACATGAAAGCTAGGGAAATTATGAAAAATATACGAAAGAAACAAACACAAATGACAATGAAGTTTGTGTGTCATAAGGTATTTATATACTTTAAGTTGTTTTATTCTTTTAATATTTGATCGAATAGTGGAACAAGCAAGAAAATAATTACGAATGAAATAAAAGTACAACTGAATAACATTTTTTTTCATCATACAAATGTCTATTGAGTCTTATACGAGTCATTAAACAGATTTCAATGTATTAAATACTAATAGAAATGGCCTAGAAACATTTGTTGATATTGAAATAGCTGATCAAAAGGATTTAAATATGTATACATAAGATTTAAGTCAACAAGAACAAAAATATACTGATTTAATTAGTCATTGATGTGAACCAAAGGTTAGCTTCTGGTAAACTAAATCCTAATTCAATAATCATTTGAAAATAAATATCTATATCTATCTTACAGATCATTGTACAATATCTTAAAATAATATGTTTTGTTCAACATTCAAGCTTATCTAATCAGGCTCATAAATAATAAAAAGGAGCTCAAAAGTGGAAGTCACTCAATCACTTATCATATATTGGCGAGCTTTTCAAGAAATAATAAAGTTTCATCTCATATCTCTAAAGTTAATATTAATCTTCATTACACAATTTGTTTTTCACTATAATGAATCATTATAATATATATGTCAACGTAAACATTATTTCTTGGTCATTAATATAATACAACCAATTTTTATGTTATACATAGTAAAGATAAATTTTCGAATTAATGAACTATTTTGAAGAAAAACCGACATGTCAAATAATTATTTATTTCAAATTATAATGAATTTTTTGATAAATGATGTTCAATTGTTCACTCAACAATTAAATGTCACGTGTATATTCTATCGATCTCTGTTACATGCCTACGTGTATTCTTGTTATCATGTAAGTAAAGATCAATAAAGAGTTGATGTATTATCTAAAAAATCATATATTTTTATTAAGCAAATAATAATAATTAATATTAAAAATCTATTGTATAAGTTTTTCAGTTTTTCTGTGAACAACTTTTACATATTTTCAATGCATCTAATTCCTTATCGAAGCTCAACAAATGTTCTATAGGTTTAACGATACGTCAAGTGAAAGAAAGAAGTATTAAAATGTTTACTGGATTCTTCTATGTTCATGAGCATCTACATTTATCTGCTTAGCGTCTATTATTTTTCTTCATCTTGAATCGTGTAGTATAATAAAAGAAACTGCGACAAGTATGACAGAATACTTCATCTTTTTCTTTTTTTTTTTTTTAATATGAGAAAATAACACATCACGCACATATAAAATAGATCTACATTTCTAACTTTTGATTTATCTACCATCATACAACATATTATTAGTTTTCTTTTTCTTTTTAATTTAACAATCAGCATATTATATATTCAAGCTCATATAAAAATATATCAAACAGATTTTCATTACATTTTTTGATTTACTCGTTGACTTGATCATATCAAGATAGTTTTTCAACAAAATATTCGACTAAAAAAGAGCAATTCTTGATTAAAATTAATAAACTTTCTTGTTAAAATGGAAACTAACACATCATCCAATGTATGCGGCAATGTTCATACACTTCGAAATATGTGGATGTCAAAAGAAAAAGAAGAAGAAAAACCAAAACGATCAATATTGCCTCCATCTTATTCACATTCGAAGCAACAACGAGAACAATCACTGAAAAATAACATACCGACTTTGAAAATTACGCATGAGACAACAATTACTACTGAAACAACAAAAAAAGAATCGTCAATTATATTAAACAATGATAGTAAGACATGTTGAATTATAATAAATTCTTTTTTTTTTAGAATCAGTTTTTTATTAATTAAAAAAACAGGTTAAATGAGTAATTAAGTCTATTGAATATTTGTTTCTTTTTTTAGAAACAACTACTTTTGAACCAGTGAAAGAAGTACCATCGATTGAAAAGAAAATTTCTTTATCAATTCCTTCATCTCAACCTGCAATCACTTTAAAACATCAAACTCAATCTATGACAACTGTCGGCCAGGCTACAGCTACTGACAAAAAACAAAATATTCTTTTTAAACATCCAAAAACGAATGGTATTCATAATTGGCAAATAGTTCGTCTTATTTTTCGTAGCGGTCTTGCACTTAATCGAACAAGACGAGCATCTGATAGTATGGTACCATTATTAATGAAAACATATAAAGTTAACCAACGTTCTCGTACAAATAGTACAGATAGTACACATAGTCAACCACCATTTGAAACTCTTGTTGATTATTTTACTCATAATATAGAATATCACAACGAAGTTTTATCTGTACCACAAAGAATCAAACGTTCACCATCGTACACAAGCTCTTGTATGCGTCGAAATAAACTCGATGAAACAATTTTTCAGTATGAAATGATACTTCGTCATTTAAAAAATTATGATGAATTTATGTCAACACATCCTTTACCATCATCAGATTCATTAGTTTCTACGAAACAACAACAAAAAAAACTATTTAATACTCAACAAATCAATAATAAAAATGAAGAAAAAGAAAAAATTCATGATAAAACATTTATTTCAAAACGACAAACACAATCATTATCAAGAAATGTTGGACGTACATTTTCTGAATTTATAATAAATGATCTTTTCTTATCACCATCATCGAAAAAATCACCGAATGAACAACAATCTATAAGTATTTCGCATGCTTCATCACAAACAGATTTATTTGAATCAATTCATAGTATTAACAATCAAACCAATACTTTTTCTGAAACAGTTCGTAATCCTGAATCGGATCGAAATAATATCGTGACAAATGAAGAAGAAAAACAAGTTGTTTTAAATGAATTTGATACTATGCTTAATAATAATGAACAAGCAACATCAATAACACCTAATAGTCAAATCAATGTTATTGTTGTTAATTTACCTACTGCGCCAAAAGAAGAGATAGTAAAAAAGAAGAAGCTAATTATTTAATAAAGTCATTTAATGATTTATTATTTCTTCTAGACAGCATCAAGAGAAAAACCACTTATGCAACGTTTATTTGAAAGAAAAAAATCTGCATACAGTCCAGATGATCTTAATATGCAACCAATTCGATTACGTTAGCTAATAAAATAATATATATATATATATATATATTTTTATATTAAATTCTTTTATTTTTCTAGCTGAGGAAATGATGGAAACATATGAGATTGCAAAAAAAAGGTGTATTTTTGATTCAGAAAAACTCATTGTAAGTAGAGAAATTTCAAGAAAATAATTTCTTTTATTTTTCTTATTTATTTGAAGTATACAACGAAAATGATAAAAATTAGTCGTCACAGCTATACACAACATATTCGATTGCTTTGTATCACAACTGAACGATTATATAATATAACAAAAAAAAATCCATATTCTAAAGAAGGTTTATTTTTTAATCAAATAGTGGGTATTACATGTACACCATATAAAGATGGTTTTATTTGTATTCATACAAAAGAATCATATGAAGATCGAGTAAAAAAATTTTTTTCTAAGAAAACTTTACATAAAAAGTTTTTCTTGTTTTATTTTGTTTTGTTTTCTGTTTCAAGGGTGATTGGCTTGTTCTTGTTGATCATCCATGTGAATTTATTACACAATTATTTATAACTATGGGACGCAATGATAATTCTGATGATTTTCTCAAAATTGCAACAGAGTAAAAAGAAATATTTTTGTTTTTTGATAGGATTTTGTTTATTTTATTATTTTTAGGTTCACACATCATCGTCGTTATTATGGAGAAGGTAAAAAGAGTAAATCAGTATTCATTATGAAATTTTTTCTTTTGTTTTTATTTTGTAAGACAGTTCAATCACCTGTTTGATCAAAGTTCAGAAAGCTGAAAGTTTTTCAATTAAAAAATTAAATTATCGATCTGCAATTCTTGTAAGAACAATCAAATAATATTTTTAATGTTTATTTTTTTCTCTCTCATTTTTATTTTAGTACACATCATAATCAAGTTTTTTTTTGTTGGCTTTTTTCATTGCTTTTGTTGCTGTGGCTGTTGTTCATGTGTTTTATCTAAATATTGCTTGACTATATCATATTCAAGAGAAAAAAAATTTCCCAATACTACATTATATGCATATGTTGCAATGAAGAATGCAAGAAAACCAGTGATGCGGAGCGATTAAATGGCCTTGTTGTTCGAAACAAGAAAAATTCCGGTTCTCTTGCTTTTTACCTTACGCATCTTTATTATACCGTTTTTTTTTCTATCTTTCTCTCGCATCGTCGCAATAATACACGTCTTTTTTTAATGTTTGTTGTCGAAGTAGACAAACTGTGCAATCATATTTATGAATAAATTTACCGATATCGTGCCCTTGAATAGACAGGTGATCAATAGCGAATCATATGCGTATTTACAATTAATGATTTGATCAACTCTACCATTCTATTGATACATTAAGGCTTTGCACAACGAAAACACACATCAATCTTCACCTATTTACATATTGTTATCATTATTCATATAGGTTTTTTTTTCAAAAAACAGAATAATTTCGTTGTAAAATAACGTGACAAAAACATTGAGTGACTGATTATTACGGTAAATATTTTATGCTACATAAATGACTATTAAAGATCGATTTGTAAATTGTTTTCGTTCAATTATACCAAGTATTTTTATTTCATAGAATGTTTATAGGTTTGTCGGATTTGTATTTTTATTAAGGTAGCAAAGGAAAAAATAAACAAAAAGATGCTAGTGACTTTGAAAATTTAAAAAAAGAAGTTACAATTGATGAACATAAAATAACATTAGAAGAAGTTGTTGCACGTTATGAAACAAATATTGAACAAGGTCTTTCAGCTGCAAAAGCTCGAGAATTCTTAGAAAAAAATGGTCCAAATTCATTAACACCTCCACGTGAAGTTCCTGAATGGGTTAAATTTGCTAAATTACTTTTTGGTGGATTTTCTGCATTACTTTGGGTAAGTTAAAATAACGAAAAAAGAAAACAACTCGTTTGCTATTAAAATAAACTAAATAGGTTGCTGCTATTCTTTGTTTGATTGCTTATGGAGTTGGAGTCGGCTCAGATCCAGAAACACCAAAAGATAATTTATGGTTAGGTATTGCGTTATTAGTAGTCGTTTTTATTACGGCAGTATTTGCTTATTATCAAGAATCAAAGGCGGGCAAAATTATGGAGTCATTTAAGAAAATGGTTTTTATATAGAAATTTTTAAATGCGTCTAAAAAAAATTTTTTTTATATATGAATCTAGGTTCCACAACAAGCAGTTGTCATGCGTGATGGTCAGAAAACTGAAATATCTGCCGAAGAATTAGTTGTTGGTGATATTGTCTTTGTTAAAATTGGAGATAAAACACCAGCCGGTAAATATTAATAAAATTTAATTTAAAAAAGAAATATGATTTATTTATTATAGATATTCGAGTATTATCTTCTCAAAGTTTCAAAGTTGATAATTCTTCATTAACAGGTGAGAGTGAACCTCTAGCTCGATCACCTGATTGTACACATGATAATCCACTTGAAACAAAAAATCTTGCATTCTTTAGTACATTTGCTGTTGAAGGTACAAGTCTTTATTTTTGTTGCTTTTTTTCTCTTTATATTCATATGTTGGAATTTTAAGGTTCATGTACTGGTATGGTTATTCGAACAGGTGATAATACCGTTATGGGACGAATCGCTGCATTAGGTAAAGTAGATTATTTTCTTCTCATAAAGACTTTTCTTGCATACTATTTCAGTGTCAATTGATGAGGCGCTTTGTATAGAGTCCTGCGAGACAAACGTTTTTCTAGTCTCGAACAGAACTGTCAGAATGACCTGCTGCCTGGCAGATCACTAAGCAAGACGGAATTTTGACACTATAGTCTGACCTGATCTGTTCATTTAGTATTGAACTAGGCTAATTGCCCACACCAAAGGTGTTGGTCTGTTTGTGATGTGATATTATTTTCCCTAGTATAACTTAAAACCTATGATGGCTTCACAAGCTCATGATTTTGTAGTAGTGTGAGTCATCCCTTGAAATACAGTTACTCACACTCTCTTACACATCTATATCTACACCGCTTCAAAAAAACATTTCAATAAATTATACTATCATCGTGAAAATAAATTAAGTATATAACTGAAACTAGAATGGTACATTATAATAAATTTATAGAACTTAATGGATTTAAAAAATCGAAAACATCACTCATTCTGGTTTTTCCTGCAGACTAGGCCAGCACCGAAAATTTTCGCGACAATTCCGGGTGTCCCATGGATCGGGATTCTGAACTATCCCGCAGGACTCTAACTTTACACTAAAACTATAGTCAATACTGCGTAATTCTTGGTTAGCATTACATACTAAATCCGTACTATGTAATGATGTTTAGGACTGATATCTATGTGGTATCTTGCAATGAGTGAAGGAAATCTTCTACCTTTTAGTAAAAAATGATGTGCTATATAACTTTGAATTAGGTAATAACTCATAGTGACTGAACTATTGAACGAATAATGATAGAATCTAGATTTTCAACTCAATAATCCTTTTCGTGAAACACTTTTGACTATCAATTGTAATTGTAAATATTTAAAGTGAAAGGGCAAACTATTTAGAAAATCTTTCTAGATTCGATAATGAATACTATCCTAATGTCAAAAAGTAATTATTATTCTTAGTAATATTCTAGTATTATTCATTGACTTGAATGATTTTTCTGTCTGGCAAAAATTTGATTTAATTTATTATTTTTGTTTTTTTACAATAATTTTCAATAGCAAGTGGTCTTGGTAATGAAATATCACCATTAAATGTTGAAATTAATCATTTCGTTCATATTGTTACAGCTGTTGCTGTTGGTTTTGGTTTAATTTTTCTTATAATTCTTCTTGCTCTTGGTACTCGTGTTTTACAAGCAGTAATTTTTGTTATTGGTATCATCGTATCAAATGTACCTGAAGGTCTTTTAGCAACAATAACTGTCATGTTAGCATTAACAGCTCAACGTATGGCAAAAAAAAAATGTTTAGTTAAAAATTTAACAGCTGTTGAAGCACTTGGTAGTGTATCAACAATATGTTCAGATAAAACTGGTACATTAACACAAAATCGTATGACAGTTGCACATTTATGGCTTGATAGTGGAGTTGTTAATGTTAATTTATCACATACACATGATGCTGAATTAGCTTTTGAAAATCCAGTACGTGATCCAACAACAGGAGAAGAAAAAACACAAGTAGATTCTAATCGACCTGGTTACAAAGCACTTTTAAGATGTGCTATGTTATGTGCCAAAGCTGTGTTTAAAGTAAAACTTTTCATTATTAAATAAATTCATCAAGTTGTTGTTGTTATTTTTTTTGTTTAGCCTGATGAAGAAAATATGAGTAAACCACCTTTACAACGACTAGTTCAAGGTGATGCTAGTGAAACAGCTATACTTCAATTTGGTGAAATTGTTGCTGGCAAAGTTGAAGAATATCGTGCAAAAAATAAGCGTGTTTGTGATATTCCATTTAATAGTGCAAATAAATATCAAGTATCTATACATGAAACTGATGATGATGATCAAAGACATTTACTTGTGGTAAAAGACTTTTGATTTTATTTTTTTTTTTAATTTCTTATTTATTGAATTATTGTTATTTTTTGTTAAGATGAAAGGTGCACCAGAACGAATACTTGAACGATGTCAAACAATTTTTATTAATAATAATGAATACAATTTAGATGATGAGTGGAAACAAAAATTTAATGATGCTTATATGGCATTAGGTGGTTTAGGTGAACGTGTTCTTGGTTTTTGTGATTTACGTTTACCATTAGGAAATTTTCCAAGAGGATTTAGTTTCGATCCAGATAATGTGAATTTTCCATTAAGAGGTTTAAGATTTTTGGGCTTTATTACTATGATTGATCCGCCACGGCCAGGTGTTGCAGATGCTGTCGCTAAATGTCGTACAGCTGGTGAATTGTTTTAAAAATATACTTGAAAAAAATAAATCATTTTTCTTTATTAATATTTAGGTATTAAAGTTATTATGGTTACTGGTGATCATCCAATTACAGCTAAAGCTATAGCGAAAGGTAAACAATTGATATTAAATAATCAAAAACAAATGAAATTTATTTATATATAGGTGTTGGTATTATTACGTCGGACACAGGTTTAATAAAAACGATCAAATTTTAAGATTTTTTAAAAAGTGTTTTGTTTCTATGTGTATAGCTAAAGATTTGGCTGAACGTTTGAATATATCTCCTAATGATGTTGATCCAAGAGATGTACGTGCAATTGTTGTATCCGGTACTGAATTAGCAGAACTCTCATCTCAACAGTTAGATGAAGTATTAACACTTCATCGTGAAATTGTATTTGCTCGAACATCTCCTCAACAAAAATTGATTATTGTCGAAGGTTTATTATTAATTTCAAATATGTTTTTTTTCTTTGAAAGATAAATTGAATATTTTTATAAGGTTGTCAAAGACAAGGTTGGATTGTTGGTGTAACAGGTGATGGTGTCAATGATTCACCTGCTTTAAAGAAAGCTGACATTGGAATATCAATGGGTACGATTCATTCACATGCTTTAATATATCGCGAGTCTAGTCGTTTTTAGTTTCTCTTTAGTCTATGTTTTCTATCTGACGAGGAAAAGTTCCTAACTGTCTAAGCGCTTTTTTTCATCAAATTTGGTAATTGACTATGCTGTTTCTGAATATCAATACAAGACCAGCAGCTAGGACTTCAGAGACTTATTTCCGAGAAAATAAATTTTTTCGTCAAAAACTTTTTTGATTCGTTTAGATTGTAGAGGCGTATACGAAACATGCACACGAAACGAGAGATGAGGATATGAAAACAAAACGGACTCAGTCAATCTCATCACATCCTCTCATTTTTACATTGCACCATCATCCAGCATCCTCGGAATCGCTGTGCACAAGTTTTGTCGTGCGCGTTTTCGTTTAGGAACCATTACTGAGATCACCAGAAACATAATTCTTTCTTTTCCTTTCTGATTTTTTATATAAAAAATGTTCTTGTTTTTTTTCTCGCTCTTTCAAACAAATGTGTTTGAACGATAAATATCAATCGCACTTAGGATAGGTGTGAGTGTTCAAGGCTCATTCGATCATGTACATGCACACTCACATTCAATCCACTAGATTTGTTGGAAAAAACGGTTAGACAGTTAGAGACTTTTCCTTGTAAGTTCATCATTAGAAAACAAGAATAGACTTCTAATTTGAAAACTAAATTTATGTATTCTTACGAAAATAATTTTCTTTTTATTTTCAACATAGGTATAACTGGTTCTGATGTAAGCAAACAAGTTGCAGATATGATATTACTTGATGATAATTTTGCAACTATTGTTACTGGTATTGAAGAAGGTCGACTTATATTTGATAATTTAAAAAAAGTTATTGCTTATACATTTACTAAAAATTTAGTCGAATTATTACCATTTCTTGTTTATGTTGTTGCTGATGTTCCACTTGCATTAAGTACAATTACTATTTTATGTATTGATTTAGGTACTGATATAGTACCAAGTATTTCATATGCTTATGAATTAGTTGAAGCTGATATATTAGTGAGTTGAAATTTGTTTTTTTTTTTATTTAACTTATTTAAATTTTTTGTTATTAGAAACGACCACCACGTAAGAAAACAGATAAAATGGTAACAAGTCAAATGGTTACACTTTGTTATGGACAAGTAGCAATGATTGAAGCAAGTGGTGCTTTTTTTGCTTATCTTGTTGTAATGACTGAAAATGGATTTTGGCCATCAAGACTTATTGGTTTACGTGAAGCTTGGGAATCAACATCAGTTAATGATGTTCGTGATAGTTATGGTCAAGAATGGACATATGAACAAAGGTAATATGTTTAGAATTTTTGTATTGTTGAATTTTGATTATTTTCTCATTAATTAGACATAACCTTGATTTAGCTGCACAAACAGCTTATTTTATTGGTGTTGTTATTTTACAATTTGCTAATTTATATGGTAATAAAACAACACGTCGATCTGTGTTTCAACAAGGATTATTTCGTAATCGATTTATGGTATTTGCTATTATATTTACTGTTGCTCTTGCATGTTTTCTTCTTTATGTTCCAACACTTAATCGTGCACTTAATCTTAATCCAAATCGTTTTCTTTGGTGGTTACCACCCATACCATTCTTCTTCTATTTATTTGCATTTAATGAAGCAAGAAAATTTTTTATTCGAAAATATCCTGATCGATTTGCAGCACGTCAACTTACCTATTAAAATTGTTTCATATTATTGTGTTGAACATATCTTAAATTCTTTTTGCAATTATATTTTATTCATATAAATATTTTATTAATAACTCATGTACTGTGAATAATTCTTATTTAAGTATATATTGAAGAAGATTTAATTGAATACTAACCTTGTTAATATATAACATGATAAACATTAATAATTGCGTGACATTTTGTGTTTTTATTTTTCGTTAGACGAACAGAAGAAGAGGGAGAGAACAAAACCAGTAGTTTAATAAATCTTTTTATCTTTTATTCTATTAGAAGTTGCGTCAATAAATCATACGATGTGTATGTGTGTTCTTTTGTTGCAAACTTCGTTTTATTTTATACATCTCAAGAGTTTTGCTAGATTGTATAAATGTTCACCGTAAGAAACGAACTCAATTCGAAAGATTTTCACAAAAGATGAAAATAAAATTCAAACAATGTACTACTTGTATTGAATCGACTCAAAGATTTGATCAAGCAACAATAACGGAAAATCTGAAAGACAATTTAGTCGGAATGTCAAATGCAAGAAATTAGATTTAGATTAACTTTTATAATAAATAAAGTCCAAGTAATAATAGATATGAGAAGCAATAGATAAACAACAAGTAGCGAAACTTTGACACATGAAAAAGATATTTGTTTTTCGACATTATTTTCTTGTTGATGGCAACTCGTACGTGATGCAAAAGATGATAATATGTTCATTGATTAAAACAGTCAACTCTTCTGTCATCTATTGGAATATTTCTGAACAGATCTAGTATCAGCTGATGTGATGAGTAAAACAACAAAGCCTCCCTGTTGAAGTCAAGTACTTTCATTTACACTAGTTTATTAACGTTTTATCGGAACCTGAGTACAAGAGAGAAGCTGAACAAATCAATATAATTTTTTTATAATGAAACATTGCTTTCACAAGAACATCATAAAAAGAAAACTCAATGAACTTAATCGTCATAATCAAAAAAAAACACTACGAGAATTAATATATAAAGCATTATGCAATAGATTCCACGTAAACACATGCATAGTTGATGCGATACTAAAGAAGTAGCTATGACGATTATTCAATTGCATGACAATTACTTTTTTTGGAGTATATATGTTTGTAGCGTAGATTTCCTTGATACTGTATATGCAGCCAATTCTAACGCATTTCTATTCCCGTTCACAAATTTTCACAAGGTTCAATCGACGAAATACAAGCTCTAACACCTGCATGTTGACAATGCGCAACTTGTCATGATACTAACTATGGATCTAAATTTGGTAATATTAATGGTTTATACATTGCATCAAACAGCATTTACAACAATTTATCTTATACAAAAGACTGTGGCGCATAAAAGACATAAAAAGAACCATTTTCAGTTTCCTTTCATTCAAGACTTACCTGATGCAGAATTTTACGAAGAATCGTTTCACAACACAATAATATTATTTCTAAAGGATCTAGATCTATTTTCACTGAAAACATTGGTATTCACTTTTCTATCATACATAAAAGGTTGAAATTTGTAAATTTTCTCACCACAAGAGAATTTCAAATCGAAAACCATGTTAGTCTGCTACTCATCCTACAGTCTCATCTTTGATAAAAGTTTCAGTTCGAATAGTTGAAATGTTACTGAATTATGATATTAATATGACTTTGAATAAGGATGAAAATCATATGCTTAGTTTATCACTTTTGCTCATGGTTTTCTCAATATCTTGAGAAAGGAAAAAAATCAACATAGGCTTTTGATTGATGTTAAAAGATCGAAGGAAGAACTGTAAAAAACAAATGCTTTTCGATTTTTTTTTTCGAGAGGGACTTTATTAAACAAGGGAAGTTGAATTTCGTTTAGACACCATTTTTGAATGTTACTTTCACAGAGTTCAATAAGAAAACATAGAATTTAAGTCAAAACTAAAAAAAGAGAAGATGAAGTCGCATCGAGTCATATATTACAGATTCTCCTAAGATACTTTCTGAAGTTTTTTTAATCAAATTTATGTACAAAAAAAAGTGTCGAAAAAATGATTCCTTTTAACATAAGTAAAAAGAAAAAATGTGGGTTTTTTTACAGCAACTGCTTGAAAAATCGACCGAGAATTTTGACTAGGATATCTATGGCTCCTGAATAACTAAATCTAAAAGTTTGAGACTTATGCAGCTTTTTGTTAATCTCCCATTAGCGGCTTGGATGCACATTCGATAATTGAAAATTCACTATAATCACCTCACAGAGCACGCTGGTTTTTCAAAAGATCGATTGAAAACCTTAAAAATCCAGGTAGAAAAAAAAATTGTAATATACGATTCGATGCACCTTCATCTTCTCTTTCTAAAGGTGAAAACTGCAGCTGTCTATTTTGTTTCTATGAAAAGTTATAAAAAAAAATTCTACTCGCTTTGTTTTGAAATTAGAATTAATTCAAAGAAAACTATGTATGAAAAGAATGCTAACAAACGCTCGTCTTAGGGTAAATTGTGAAAAGCATATTATATCTTATAAATGGAATGTTTTAATCACATTTAAAATTGATGATCAATTCGATAGATTTAAAAGAGAATATTCAGTGGAAGTCGATTTATGAAATTTCTTCTGGAAGCTTCAAGCCCGTGGGAACCGTTCTCACGTAATTGGCCCAATACAATCAGTCTAACATTTAACTCTATTTTTTTCTCGACGAGAGAAATTTATTCAACCAAAAATCGACTAAGATCATTGTATCAATCGAACACTTGTACCGATTCAATATATTCTGTTTGAATGAGACAAGACAGAAGATAAGCATTTTTTTTATAGAACTTTTCTACTCTACTCTAATGATTTTATTATTATTACCTTATACACAATGGTACATTCGAACCGTTAAAATATTCTATTTTAATCATCACGTTGATTATTTGCGACATCTATTATTGATTATAAAAATCCTCATTATAGTTGTAATTGGTCCTTCTCTGACATGTTATTTTTGGATTTTTTTCATATCAACATCCTCGGCTTGATTGAATTTCCATTCATTTGATGTGTTATTCATCATGACGAGATCTGTGAGTCAACTGATGTGTCATGTTTGTTTCAAAACTAGATTGGATTTTTTTTACTTTAAGAATGAAAATTTGTAAAAAGACAAGATCAATTCATCGTCAATTTTATTGAATGTTTGTTTTCAACTTATTATAATTGATTTAGTGAAAATTTTAGTATGGACGGTGAACAACCGTACAAAATTCAAAATGATTATCATCAACGAGCTGTTGGTTTTCTTCGTCAAGCACTTGAATTCGACGAACAATCAAGTATATTTTCTTTTGAAAAAAAAATAATATTTTATTATATGGATTTTATTTAATTTATTAGATAATAAAGAAATGGCTATTCTATTATACAAACAAGGCATACGTGAATTAGAAAAAGCAGTAAATTTAAATGTTGATCCTAAAGGTGAGACGTTTATAATATTTTTTTTTCTTCAAATGTATATAATTAATAGATAATCGTGCTGTGGATCTGCATACAAAAATGCGTAAAAATTTAGCTATGGCTCGTGAACGAGTGCATGTTTTACGTGAGTTTATCTTTTCTTTATTATCATAGGTTTTATCGATCATTTTTTTAGAGGACTTACTCCGTAAAGAGAATGCAATACCAGCAAAAGCTCAGGCTGTTCCACCAAAACCTCGTCACATTCCAACGAAAGCTCAACATCCCACGCCTCATAAGATTTATTCACCACCTCCAGTACGTATCGCATTTTTCTGTTGTGTTGACTTGACTAACATTGCTTGTGTTTCCAGTCTGCTTTACCTAAATTTTGCTATCGTGCTTTGTCACCTGCTATTGCTTCTTCTTCATCATCATCATCATCATCATCAAATCGTGTAGCACTTAAACCAAAACAGGCACCTACACATGTAGTTAGTGTGAGAAAAATTATTTGATTAATTTATTAATCAATTGTTCATTTATGAGAGTTAAATATTTTAAAATTGTATTTAGATTGAAAGAAAAGAAGTATCATCAAAATTAAATGATAATGCAGCAGCTGCTCAAAACAAACGACCTGTACTCAAATTACCTAATGTTGAAAAAAAAGAATTACCATCAAAATCAGATGATGATGCAGCAGCTGTTCAAAACAAACAATCTTTACTTAATTTACCTAATGTTGAAAAACAACTTATTTCATATATTCTTGATGAAGTTATAGTAAATAAACCTAATGTTAAATTCACTGATATTGGTAAGTCATTTTATTATGCCATAAAGACTAAAATAACCCAGTTTAGTAATTTATTTAAATAATGCTAATACGTTTCTATAAAACACTGTTAGGATTTTGTTTTTCATATAATCCAATGTAACATTTTAGTTTCCTTTTTAACCGTTTGCCTGTAGAATAGAGCCCACTGAGTTCGTTCCGAACCCGAAGCTGGCGAGTTCTAATCATCTGAGAAAAGTTTAGAATGTACTAATCACCAAATACAAAAAAACCGGAAAAAGTATCTTTTATCTTTGATGTGACTATCCAGTTCCAATTAGAAAATTTCATTGAGAGTATCAAAGTACGATTCGACTGGATCCCAGAATTTTCGATCTCACCGGACTCTACTATAAAAAATTTGATAGAAATTCTTATTTGAAAATTCTACATATTGTTTAATCTATTATCTGTATTAATTCGTGATTATATATAAGTTTTATATTTTCTCTTATCAATGGTCACAGTAATAATTCTGAAAAGAATTTTTGAATGTCGTTCAACATAAGCTATGGATGTATTTATCTCTAGTTGCAAAATATTAGATTTTAGATTAATGATAATAAAAAGATGAAATCATTTTTAATAAACAATATTGATTTTTTTTTTCTTATGTGAAATAATTTCTTGCAAGATTAAAGTTTACTAATATGTATAATTGCCAGTCTCAAATCGTGAATTAAACGAATTAACAACATTTCTATTTATTAAACATACAAAACGATAATAGTTATTCATTAATCAAAAGATAAAACGGCAAGATAACATAGATTTACTAATGTTATACAAATAGAAACATCATATAGAGAGCAAATATATAAACAAGACAAAGTGATAAATAGAATTTTGATATAGAAAATGACAGAGATCAGCATAAGAATATTGTCAAGTAATAAAATGATGATATCAAATCTGTTTGCCATAGAAATAAAGAAAAAACAAATTAATTAGTAGTCAAATGAAGATTAAACATCATAATATTAACAACGTAATAATAAATCTTTTTCAAGAAAGAAGAATAATTAAGTGTAACAATAAAATTTTCATAACTCGATTCTCATGAGAATATTAAATAGAAAGAAATTTCTTTAAAGTTAGCTAAACATTTATTAGTTTTATATTTTGAGATAAGATCAATCAACATGATAAGTATGTTTTATTTCATTATTATACAAAGAAATTTTAATTATTCTTTTATTTACATAGGTGGTCAAGAAAGAGCCAAACGAGCACTTGAAGAAGCCGTTATTTTACCTGTTCTTCGACCCGAAGTAAATTATCTTATTTAAATAAAAAGAACAATAAAAAGTAATTTCATTCTCTTAGATGTTTACTGGTCTACGGGCACCCGTACGAGGTATTCTATTGTTCGGACCACCTGGTAACGGCAAAACAATGCTGGTAATTGATAATAAATTGTTACATAATTAATTCATTGATTTATCATTTTAAAGGCAAAAGCTGTAGCTTCTGAAGCAAAAGCTCGTTTTTTCAACATTACTGCATCTAGTTTAACATCAAAATATGTATGTCATAATATTTCCATTGATTTTATGAATGCTTATACTTACTGTTTCATTAGGTTGGTGAAGGTGAAAAACTTGTTCGCACTTTATTTGCTGCAGCTCGGGAATTACAACCATCAATTATTTTTATTGGTTCGTTTATATTTTAATCTATTATCATATCATTTATCATTTTTTTCTTTTTGTTCTCATAGACGAAGTTGATTCATTACTTACTGAACGTAAAGAATCGGAACATGATGCAATGCGTCGATTAAAAACTGAATTTTTTATTCAATTTGATGGTGTATGTTATAAAAACAAAAGAAAAAAAGTAAAATTGAAATTAAGATTTGAATTGACTTGTTTTAGGTTCAAACAAACAGTGATGATCGTATTCTTGTTCTTGCTGCTACAAATCGTCCATTTGAATTAGATGATGCAGCATTAAGGTAAATTCGTAAAAAAAAATAATTTTTTTTTTTTTGGTAAATCTCGATTTATTGTTTTTTTTTAGACGTTTTCCTCGTCGTATTTATATTCAATTGCCAGACTCAAGAACACGTAAACATCTTTTAAAACATTTACTTAGTAAACAAGAACATAGTTTAACTTCCAGTGATTTCGAATGGATTGCTAAGTAAGACATTGCTTTTTTATTTTATTATTATTAATATGAAAAAAATTTCTTTAAGTGAAACACATAATTACTCGGGTAGTGATTTAACTGCATTAGCCAAAGATGCTGCAATGGGTCCAGTACGTGAATTACGTGTTGATCAATTAAAAGAATTATCTGTTAGTCGTATTCGACCAATATCACGACAAGATTTCATTCAAGCATTAAGAAAAATTCGACCAAGTGTATCACCATCAACACTTGAAAAATATATTACATGGGATCGTCAATTTGGTGATGGTAGTTCTTAAAGTTACTTTTTGTTTCCTATGTATTTTTATGTAATTATTGAGATTCAGTTGTTTGTTTTTCTTTTCGATTGTCTTTATTTTGTTTTTTTGTTTTATTTACATCTAGTCACGTATTTGATATGAAAGTTTACGTTCACTGCGCATATGTATAGAAAAACGTAAAAAAAAATGAAACTATTATATGAATGAAGTTTTGTTTTGTTTTTCTATCAGCTATTTAATTATTCTTTTCTGAGATCTGTTATTCCTGATGAAACACAGATAATTATTATGTGATGTCTCTTTATTTATGTAATATATCTGGTCGTTGTAGTTGAGTTTGTGACGTTATATGACACAATGACGACGAGATCGAATGTAGTGCAATATGAATCTAATTTATCGACAAATTGCAGCAACACCGACCTAATCGCATTGGTTATTTCGTTTTATTTTCTGTCAACATATTGACATGAAAGAAAGAAAGAAAGAAAGAAAAGAGAATTTTTCGTAATACTTTTTTTTTTTTGCTTGAAAGAAAACGAAGAAGAGCGAGAACGAGAGAGAAATCCAATATAAATGCATAAAAGAACGAGAAAAAAGACTAATTACATGTAGAATGATTACGAGCGATTGGCGTAGTGCAATCGCCCTTTTCCCGATTTCTTACGGAATATATCAAGATATCTTTTTTCTTTTCTTTTTTTTCTTTTTTGCTTTTTAATCTATTTGCTAATTCCGATAATGTTCAGTTAGTGTCAAATAAAAAATAGAGAATCTTCTTAACCTGTATTTGGATGATGTCATGACTTACCCTTTTATACTACTCCGAAAAAAAAAATACATATGGCATGCATCGAAACAGGACACGAAGATATAGAATAAGAAAGACACAAGCGTACGCAAGTAAACTGGATTGTAACAGAGCAAAAAGGAGAGAGAGAGAGAGAGAGAGAGAGAGAGCGTACGAAAGAGACAGCATAGAGCACTTACCATTCAAATCAAAAAATAAAAACGAAGAAAAGAAGAAAGAGAACGACAACGGCAGAAAGTAGCATACCTGTACACACCATCATCATCCGAGTAGAGACAAGAGCAGCAATTGAAATGAAAAATATACATATGCATACATCGTCGTAGCAACGATGATGACGACGATGACAATAACAACGTCATGCAAGGTCTTCAAGCATAAATCTTCCTTGTCTAACATATAACAAAAGAAAAAAAAGGAGAACTCGTTTTCGTCTTCCTTCTTCTTTTCGCTACTATACATAATACAAAGGAAAAAGGATGGATAAGAAAAAAAAATATCGACATATGGGCGTATATATACATGTATATATGCATGCATTTCTTGCTCCATCTATATAAGCGTGTATGTGAGCGCACAATTCTTTAGCTATCTCATGGTATTTATGACATATATATTCTACTCCTTGCTGATGGTCAAGGTGTAGGAAATAGAGAAAGCAAAAGAATGAATGTTGACTCACAGAGATCAATTATAAAATTTAACTGCGCGTATATTTATATAACTATCTGTCCTATTGTGCTGTCAACTCAATTAGAAATCAAGATGAAATTATTTTTAGTCATGTAAAAAAGACTGATGTGATAATTACCTTTATGAGTATGTGTCCAACTCTTTCACATACCTTCCAAACGAGTGACTGAGCTTTATATGGGTATGTTAAAATGAAAATATATTTCATCGCTCTCCCTCTATTCTTTCTCTCTTTTTTCTAATTATACGAACTCTCATTCTCTCTTTCACTCTCTATGTGTGCACAAACAGACACAATACTTCAATTGTAACTAGCTAGGCGAGAGCGAACAAGTATTGAGAAGACTTTTAAAAAAATTCTTTTACGTCTGAGAAAAGGTTGTCACATTCAAGTACCTTTCTCTTTCTCTTTAGTTGTATGTGTAATCAAACAAAGAAAAGAAAGTGGGAAACAAAGAGTAAGGCAAAAAGCGAGCACGAGAGAGAGAAAGAGATTGATTTTTTTTCTGTCGTGCGGAAAACGCCATAGCGGTACCTCTCAAGCTCTCTCACTTGTTCTCTGATTGAGCTGAACTATGTAAACAAAGTGAAATGAGAGAGTATGCATCTATGTATGCCGTTGTCAATGACACAAATGAAATCACCCTTGGAGGCATGTTGATTCTTTTATATACATTCGAAATGAAATCATCCATCGTCCAACTCATTTATACCATTGAAGTAGTAGAAGGTGCTCTAGTAGAATGGAAGGAAGAGAGAGAGAGAGAGAAAAAGAAAAAGCTCTTGAACATAAAGGAATGAATGCTGGAAGACGTTGAATGAAATTATTATAAACAAAAGAATGAGATGAAAGTTGTTTTGTAATTAATTGAAATTAAAATGAAATGATGACTACTTTTTAATTTATTGTAGATCATCGAATAAAGGTGATTTTAATTTATTCAGCTTAGAAACAAAGTGTTTGAAAAATATTTTGACTAAAAAAAAACCTTGTCTATTTTTATTCTTACAATAAAAAATTTCGGAGGATGATTTATATTCTAGGGAATATTCATAACAGGAATTTGATGATATATGAATGATCAATAATAAATATAAATCTTAATTTTATAATAATATAATTTTTATGAAATGAAAAATGCATTTTGATTTACATTCTTTTAGATCATTTTTTTATGAAATTTGTTTTTTTAACAATTCAACGATTTTTTACTTTACGTTCTAGTACTAATATTATATATTTCTTGATAATATATCTCTTATTCTGTTTGGTTTCTTTTTGCTAATAGTTTCAACAATGTCTGAAAATCTTTCAAAAAATCTTTGTACGTGTCAATCATCTGAACCTCGTCATGATAAATTAATAGTTTATCAAATACTTGTTCGATTATTTGGTAATCGAAATTTAACAAATATTGTTCATGGAACTATCGAACAAAATGGTGTCGGTAAAATGAATGATATTAATGATGCATGTTTAAATGAATTAAAAAGATTTGGTTATACACATATTTGGTATTGTGGACTTCTTGAACATGCAACATTAACTGATTATACAGCATATGGAATTCGTAAAGATAGTCCTTATATTGTCAAGTAATGAATAATTTAATATATTTTCTTTTGTTATGATTCGATGAATTTATTTTGCTTTGGTTTTTTTTTCTTTTAAAAAAGAGGTTTAGCTGGTTCACCATATGCAGTAAAAGATTATTATGATATTGATCCAGATGTAGCTGTTGACATTCCAAATCGTATAAGTGAATTTGAACAATTAGTTAAACGTACTCATGCACATGGTCTTCAAGTTCTTATGGATTTTATTCCTAATCATGTTGCTAGAGAATATGGTTCTGATATTCGACCTGATGAAGATTTTGGTATAAACGATGATCAAACAAAAGCATTTAGTCCAACAAATGATTTTTATTATATTAAAAATGAAGAATTTCAAATGCCAAATGTTGAACATATACCTCTATCTATTGATATATCAAAAATAACAAAATATACTGAAAGACCAGCACGTGCAACAGGTAATGATGTATTTCATTCAAAACCATTAATTACAGATTGGTTTGAAACTGCTAAATTAAATTATGGAACTGATTATGCTGCGGGCAAAAATTTTTTTGATCCACGACCACCACTTTGGGATAAACTTTTTCGAATTTTATGTTATTGGATTGATAAAGGTGTTGATGGTTTTCGTTGTGATATGGTAAATTTAAAATTTATCTTTCGAAAAAAAAAATATTCTGCTTGTTTTTTTTTTATTATTAGGCAGAAATGGTTCCGTCTGATTTCTGGCATTGGTTAATAACATCAATACGTAAAGCATATCCTGAACGACGAATTGTTTTTATTGCTGAAATTTATCGACCAGATTTATATCAACGTTATATTGAACATGGTCTTTTTGATTATTTATATGATAAAGTTGGATTATATGATGGTTTACGTTGGTTATTAGAAGAAGGATCAATTTTAGGAAATTGTAATGATATAACACGTATTCATAATGAATTAAAACATATTGACAGACATATGTTAAGATTTTTAGAAAATCATGATGAAATTAGGTAAGAAAAAGAAATTGTTTTATTTGAAAAGTAGATATTAAATTTTGTTTTAATTTTAGAATTGCTGCAAAACCATTTGCAGGTAATCCATGGAAAGCAATACCAGCTGCTGTTTGTACAGCTGCTATGCATTCTGGTCCGTTTATGATTTATTTTGGACAAGAAATTGGTGTGGATAGTGTAGGACAAAAAGGTTTTCAAGGAGATGATGGTCGAACAACTATTTTCGATTATTGGGTAATTTAAGAAAAAAAAAAGGGAATTGATAAATAGTATTGAAGTAAGATTCGGAAGTTCATTGAATTAATAGAATAAAAAAGAGATACATTTTCCGACATAATATATTAGAAGTAGTCTTATATAGAAGTATGTAGATTTTATAAGTAGCGTTTTTGTTCTAACAGACGTTGAAAAATCTTACTCAAACTATTCATTAAACAGAAAAGAAAATATACCAAAAAAAAAAATGATCTAATAAACTGTGATATATAATGTTTGAACTATATGTACATATTTTTTCAAATACCCTCAACAAAAAAAAACAACCTTGTTGTGTTTTACTAATTATATATTCATATAAAAACTTTGATCATTCTTCAAGATTTCTATAAGATATTTTATTATGCTTAGGGCATTCCTGAATTTCAAGCTTGGTATAATAATGGTGCATGTGATGGTAATCAATTAACAGTTGCACAAAAAAGTCTTCGTTTATTCTATGAAAGTCTTATAAAACTTGTTCATAATCATAAAGCTATATATTGTGTTTCATCAAAATTAATTGATTTACAATTTGCTAATCATTCATTATATGATACAAAAAAAATTTATTCTTTTATTCGATATCATGAACATGATGAACAATTATTATTTATATTAAATTTTGATTATAAAAATAGTTATGATATTGAATTAGCAATACCAAATGAAATTTGGCCAAGTATTGGATTAGATACAACTAAAGTATATACGATTCAAGAAATCTTTATTGATGGAAAGCTCAAATTAGAATTGCGTTCAAATGAAAATCTACGTCTTAAACTACCAGGCAATCAAGTCTACGTGTTCCAAATACAACAATAATTCTAGTCAAGCATTTTTTTTAATTTTATTTTATACATAATCTCGCTATTTTATAGAATATAAAATAAAGCCAGCTCTTTTTTTTTCTTTTCTTTTATTTATTTGCATGCAAGTGACACAATACATCACTCTAAAAATAGTAATACTATGCAGATTTCTTTTACCACTTATTATTGTTTGAGTGTATAACAATACAGCTTCACTGAAGATAATGTTGATTATGATAACAGTACTATGAATAAGATTGAAAACTTTTGTTTGAATTTGTAACATGAAAAATAATACCTGTTGTAGTATCTCATTTTTCTTTTCCTTAAAAATTAATTTTTTTAATATGCAACAGAACTAATGTCTCTCATTTTTATAAATTCACTTCTAAATATCACAAGAGAAAGGAATTCCACTAAGCTTATTAATGTAATATAAGTTGAATCTTGTACTGATCGCTGAATATGACACTTTTTCTTCGTCTGTTTTATGTTGATGATGTACTATTGATATCTATAAGGATATGGTTGAGAATATGAGGTTTGATTGAGAGACATCCAATACCCAACTGTTCACGTTCTCAATGTTTCGATATTTTTCCTTTCGACATTAGTTGGAAGAATTGTTTGCAATGAATTAGTTGATGTCTAATGTCAGTTTACAAAATATTTCTAACACCTATATAGTTTTCATTTAGCTATACATGCTATGATTTTATGTGTAACACACACTTATTTATCAAACATGCTATCTACTGAAACGAAAAAAAAAGTACGTTTATGTTTGTTTTCGTATACAAATATGTTAATTTTATTCAAGAATTTCACAATATATTTTTTGCCATGTACTTATTTGTCTACTTTTGAATGAGACAATGTTATAATAGATATGTAACGAATCTACATCTGTAGAGGATACTTTGACAAGTATAGACGTTTGGTCTTTCTAGAATGTAACGACAATCACAATATAGAAAAATTGGTTGAGCTATATGAGTGAACGAAGAGACAAATATGTTTATATAAAAATAATAATTGGTATTTGAATAATAACTCTCAACAATGTATTTTGTTCCGACTTATTTAATTTGTGTTTAAATTAATATTTGTCAAATAATTACGTGTAATGTATGCTATTAACTGATTTCTGAATCGTATGATAATAAAAATAAATCAATATCAGTCAATCAACCTTTTTCTAATAGGCATTAGTATGATCGTCATATGTGATAGAAAAATAGGTGTCATCGAAATTTTATTATTATGATATTAATTGAGGAATGATGTAATAGCACAGAAAAATAGAATTTTCATATACCTATAGAAATAGTTGAATGAAGTGAAGCATATGTCCTATGAAAAAGATTAAATTAATTTTTTTTCACTTTTCTTAAGTCTTGAAAAATCGTCTCGATTTCTAGAATGTGATAGATACATAAGATATATATGATTTGAGTACTATTGAGTGTCAGGTATTAGCGACAGTTGTGGATCAACAGATGTCCTTGTTATTCATCTATGATTGTACGAAAAGAAACCTATTACAATAACAGACAGCAGATGCACTCACATTTATATCCTCGCTTACCAAGAATCAAATCTTTTTTTATATGATCAATTTACAAATTAATATAAAAGAAAACGATGAGTAGTAATTCAACAACATCAGTAGAAAATAAATTATCTGATACATTTGAAAGAAAACAAAAAGAAATGACAGTCGATGAATATGCTGAATTAGTAGCAAAATGGCAACAAGCTTATTATTCATGGAATATCAATTGTGTTACTTATTACAAGTATACTTAAATAGAGATTGATAAACATTTCATATTTTTCTTTTTTTTTTTTTGTTTGAATAATATTTTAGTATGATGATATTGAATTCATCTCAACAATTTTTTCGACACATACCTGTTCTTACAAGTGCTAATTTTCTTGAGATGATCAATGAAACTAATCGTTCACCACCATTTGATCCTTTAGCTGAAATACGAAACGGTTTGAAGATTCTGCTTGTGAAACAGAGGAGGAGAATTTTTTTTATTAAAGTTTTTATTTTATAGCTCGTCTAAAAATAGCATCAGTGTGGCGTCGTTTTATTGCTGAAATAATCGATTTCATTCTTTTACATGTGTTTAAGTAATAAGGCTTTTGTCTTCAATAAATTTAAATATTTATTCTATATTTTTCTTATAGAATTTCTATCGTATTTTTTCTTTCTAATTATTTTGATATAATCGATGAAAGTCGTCTTACATTAACATATATGATTTCTAATTTACTTTATGACGAAACATTTTCATTTCCAATGGAACTTATTTGTATTGAATTTGGCTATTTAATAACAAGCATCGCTTTTGAAGTGATTTCATTTTTTTTTTGTTTTTTATTATTTTACGTTTTAATAAATAAATCTTTTTTTAGAGTTTTTGTCTCACACGTTATGGTGCTACACCAGGTAAACGTCTACTTCGTCTACGTGTTCTCAAATGTGATCATCTACAAATGCAAGAGAATGGTGATTTAACAATTGAACCTTGCACCCTACTTAATTGTGGAGCGTAAGAATTATTTTTAGAATTTTTTTTTAAATAATTGTTTTTTTTAAATAATATTTTATTTAAGAGCATTTACTCGTTCCAGTTTTAAAAGTCTTATGTCAACTTTTCTTTTTCCAGCTCTTATTATTGCTTTATTTACATCACAATATCGACAGACAAATTATGATATAGCTGCTAATACTGTTGTTGTTGTACTTGAACCACGGGAATAATTTTTGATGTTTCAGTGGTTTTGTTTTCGTTTTATCTATTTGTGTCAATAATAAAGGAAAAGCTAAAAAAAAATAGGCCAGGAATCATTATATAATTTATTATAGTATTCAAGATTATGAATAATCATAGTAGATCAAAACAAAAAGTTAATAGTTCATTAACAAAATCAGATAATAAACATGACGATAGTGGAAGTGAAAGTGAATTGAATGAACTAAATTCATGTAATGTTGAACAACTAATTGATATAGTGAGTTAATTTATCAAATAGGTTTAGAGTTAAAATGAACTTTGATGAAATTGTACCTTTTAAATATATTTGAAATGTTCAAAAAGTTTCTGAACTGATTTAAAAAACAATAAGAATCACTGCAGTATTAGTAATGATATCTGTCCATCGTTTATGCAATTTTCTATTTATAGGTACCATAAAGTCTGCTACAGTGGACATATGTATGGAAATGAAACAATAGATTTTATATCAATACAATAATAGATAATTCGAGCATCACTCAGTAATAAAATTCTTTGTTTTGAAAAGCTATATTTCATCTAATATTTATGACAATACTCAATATAGATTTTGAATGAAATTGTCATTTCAATCATGAATAATTGTACACTCATGATAATCCTGAATGTGGGTCACATAACTACTAACTAAATTTAAATCAAGTAATTCAAGATAGTGGAATCACAACTAAGTAAATGGAAAGCACTACATCCATTTCAAATCTACATAGTATAGTATATAACATGATCAGTTATATATGATTAAAGTTCTATTCCATGTGAATGTCATAATTGCTAACATCGACTCAATAACATGTTGTTCATAGCTAGAAACATAATCAACTAATAGTTGTTCGCCTTTAAATTGATGAATCCATTCAAAAACTATAGTGTTTAATGAAGTATTTATTATTGTAAACCGTTACTCTACATAAATAGATATTTAGTGATCATTGGATCCATTAAAAAAAAAAGAAATTTTGCTCAGATTTTTTATTTTTTTAATCAATGGATGCAAGACGTTCTAAAAAGTGCTGTTATATTTTCACATGTACTTTTAATATAATAGAGCTTATGATATCTATGTATATAAGCCAATTGTAACACAGCAGTGCTTGTGTTTTGCTTTTAATTAAAACTAGTTCGAGAACTTTTTTAAATATCCTACGTAAGAAAGTAGTCACTCATAAGCACGCTTATACAAAGAGCAAAATTGAGATAGTAACTCTTTCGTTATTTTTTTATTAGAATCAATTAAAATTATTCTCACGAATATGGTATTTTATCAAATTTTCGGTAAAGAAAATGTATTCAGTATGTAATCTAGCTGACGAAAACTTAGCTTAGTTTTTCAGTATTACAAAACCAAAATATCATGCTGAAATTCAACATTATGAACGTATGAATGAAGAGGTTTATTCATTCAAATATAAGTATTCTTCATTATATCTTCATATAATTTATAGAGAAGGAGCAGCATGGTGACAAGCATTTCAAGATGTTAAACACATCAGTCATATACGAGATTCAATCGTACGTAATAAAAAAAAATAATCTTAAGTTTATTACTTACACTGATTCTTTTCACATTTTAGAGATAAGTACGTAGCAATGTTGATTGTCTATTCGTATTTTAATATTACTATTAAACCCTCCGACTTAACTTCGCGCGTTTTTTTTCTGATAGGTCATTGTTCTTTCATAGACGATAATCTTCAATAATGATTATATAAATGATACATATTTAAACGACAGTAAAATCATTGTTCTCTTTTTGTTATAAATTTTGATAGAAGTATACAATAAACTTTGTTACCATTTATTTTACTCATATTCAATTCTAATGTGATGATTATTTTGGCGTGTTAGATAAGAAGAATTTTATTAGACAACAATAATACTAATCAGAGCAAATTCAAAAAACAAAAAACAAAATCAAAATTTCTTAATTAATAGTTCACAATGGTTTATTATCAAAGTAAAATGAGTCTAATCATTCAATTGCAGGTGATAGAGAAGAACTTTTTATGCTATCATAATCAGCTTGTCGAACACAGCAAATCGATACATATTTCTCTGACAATACATAATCTTCTTTTGCCTGTTTGAATTTTATACCACAACTAACGAGGAAAATCTACCAATTGATTAATTTCTTTTGAGTCTAGACTGTGTGCATCATGTAGACCGTAATAACATATGAATACTTTGAGAAAAGCTGAGGCCCTTAGTTTATTGCTCTCAAGATGTCGCATTTTCACAGTATTTTTTAAGTCAATATCGTGGTCTCTCTCAGGAATATAGAGAAAACTCATTTTCGAATTTTGATTTAAAACTTCCTATAAAGACTGTCCTCACTGAGGATAGTTTATTGTTAAAATTTCAGATCATTTTGTTGTTCCTATTTTCAGATACAATTATGACAAAAACTGATCTGTTACACTGCTCATATACACCGGCAGATTTGATGTTCTTACTTCAGGAAAGGATCAAATCAAAAGACTTGAAACTTCCACAATAAAGTGTTCTTGTTAAAATTTATTTCTGTATAAAATTGCAAGTCAAAATTTGAAAATGAGTTTTCTTTGTGTTCCTAAGGTAAAAATGCAGTAATTCAACAACAATAAGTTAAGAGTCCGAACTGTTTTTAGGATATTCATAATTTATTAGAGTCTACATGGTGCACACATGGTCCAGACTCCAAAATGAGTTTAAATCAATATTCAAATCAAATATTTCAAATATAGTATTTAAATGACTAGAGACATATTGATTAAGCTATAATAGTGTGTTGCATATATTATTTGGAACATTGAAATCATCTCCTTTACATATCATCTCTTTAATTACACCTGTGCAATCTTAAGCAGATGTTTTATGAAAACGACGTAACATAAATATCTACAAAAGAATATCGATTTCTATTCGACAATTCAATAATTATTATTTCGTAATCGAGAATAAGTTAACATAAAAGTTATATTAAAACAAAAGAAATGAACGAAAGAGATATTATCTATTACAAATAACAATAGAATTAGAAGAAAATTAGTTTTCTCTGTTACATGTGCACTCAACTTACCACTTTCAGAGAGAGAGAAAATTAAAATATAAACATTTCTTAATAAAAAAGAAAAAGAACAATCATGTTCGTTTTTTAACTGATTTAAAACAACAAACTTCATTGATATTTAATCTATTATCATTTATTGCACAAAGAAAAACGGCATGATACCGACATACTTATCCCTATTAGATAGTTAGACCCACTTCAACCATCCGTCTCGTCCTCTTAAGAAGAATCAATGAACGACGCCAATACGTATCACTGTCTTCCGCTTGATTTATATTGACATCCAACTGTGTTTTGATTATATACGCTCTTATGAATCTTCTTTCTTTGAGATAGACATATTGATTTAAAACTCAGATTTATTTTTATAAAAAAAAAAACATTTACATATCCATTTTCAATTTTACAATAGCCATATTTTAATATTTTTAATGTTTATTCTTCTTGTATCATCATTTGAATATTGTACAATTGATTGAGAATTAGGTGTGAATTGTAATCGACGTTGAGATATAATTGGTATTGGTGGATGTTGATCAAGAAAACATTTTTGTTTGAATGATGATGTTGATCGTCTATGACTGTTATTATTAGGAATTTGACGACGAATTTGTTTTGGTGTACTACAATAAATAGGTGGTGTTAATAATAATCGTTGATGTTTCATGATGGAATCTAAAACAAAAATAGAAAAATGAATACGAGTGAACTATGACAATAATTTTAGTTTTGAAGTGCAACATATGTCAATCAAATGTGATGAACTTACGTGGGGAGCCATCATTGAATGGATTTGATTGTTCAATATCGTATGGTGTAGAAGCGGCAAGTGGTCGAAATGATGTATTTGTTCGATGTTTTAAACGAGTTGTACTATTTGCATGTTCAATTTTATTTAATATCAATGTTGTTTCTTGTTTAGTATGAAAAATTTTTGATTGATGAGAATGACGTCTTTTTGTTAAAGAATATTTTCCCATCGTTGAATTCTAAATAATACAAAAAAAAACAAGAAAAGATTTTATATTTAAAGTTAATTTTTTTGGAAATCTAAAGAAATGGATAATATCGCATTGACACGTGTATTCCACACGCTTACAACAAAATGGATGACATAAGATTTGTAATGGATGATCGAAAAAATTGTCTCAATATATATATATATATCTATATAATATTAAGTAGACAGCCCATTAACCAATTTACATATCGATGTATGTAATATCCACTTCTATTTTTTTTTCAAGTATTCTAATCGAATATGATGATTTGACGTTTTCTTTTTTGAGTAATATTATTCTAACAAACCTTGGATGATGTTTTGCGACTAGTTCGCTGTTGTTTATTCTTATGTTGTTGATCAGTTCTGCTTTGCTTTTTATACATAGAATAGATGAGCACTATTGATTATAATACAAATAAATTATCATAGAGCCAATCGATATTCGTTCTCTTTTCTCTTTTTCAATGTAGACAATTGGTGAAAAAATAAAAATGAATTCTAATGATGAATGATTCGTCAATCAAATGAAGAAAAGAAAAAGTGAATAGATTTCAAAGAGATGATTATCTTTAATCATAAGTCTTTTTTTTTTTATTAACTCATGTAATGAATTCTTTTTTAAAGAAATTATGCAGCGATCTTATGAGCTAATTTATAAAGTTTAGATTTGATAATACGTTAAGTCATGCTTTTTATCAGTGGCAGATTTCGGGACGGAGGACGATCGTTTTCCCATCATAAAAATCCTAGATCTGTCACTGCTTTTTATACAGAAAAACACAATAAGAAAATGTTAATTTAGTGTAGGTATTACTGATTTACTTGTCACAAGCGTAACCTATGGAGGATGCAATGGCGGCTCTCCTTATTTCTGAAGTTTGTTCACGACGAATTCTCTCTCTCTCCAGTGC